TTTTTTTTTTTTTGCTTTTTGAGACAGGGTTTCTCTGTGTAGCTTTGGAACCCATCCTGGTACTTGGCACTTGCTCTGTAGACCAGGCTGGCCTCGAACTCACAGAGATCCTCCTGCCTCCCGAGTGCTGGGATTAAAGGCATGAGCCACCAACGCCCGGCAAGACTAATTTTTCATTTGCCAGCGGTTATCAATTGGAGATAAATAACTTCTGGCCTAGGATGGCACCTGTGTCCACTCTCTTTCTCAGCCTCCCATCTGGTTTACACCTGTGCATGTTCCCACCCTCTCTGAACTCTTATGCGCTAAAAGACCTTCTTTCCTTGGTGTCCACACCCATCAGCTCTTAGTACAGAACCACTGCAACTCTCTTTTCTAATTGAGAACAGAGTGCTGCATCCAAACATGACAAGCCTACTCACCAGCCTCCCTAAGGAAGCTTGCAACGCTTCCTCATGTGTTGATTATATAGCCTTTCCTCAGCAAACAGGTCCTTGGTAGCCCAGACTGACCTGTAACTCACTATGTAGCTATACATTGGCTTCTGGTTCTTCTGTTTCCACCTCCCATGGGCTTGGATTGCAGACTTGTACCTTCATGACCAGTTTTATGCAGTGCTGGGGATTGAACCCAGGGCTTTGTGCTTTCTGGGTACTCTACCAACCAAACTACTTCTCCAGCCCTCAGTCAACATCTTATGCATTTGCTTTTTTGGTTGTTGTTTTGTTTTTCAAGACAAGGTATCACTGTATCAATTCACCAATTTAGCCTCCCCAGTCCTGAGATTATATGAGTTCCTACATTCATTTAAAATACTGCCAAGCCTGAGACATGAGACTAGCCTCCGTAGAGCCCTTGGGACTGTGGAGCTCTTTCCACCTTTATCTTTTGTCCACCCTCCTCCTCCAACCCCTCCCCAAGTTTATTTTCCTCTCTGGCCTTTTTTCTGTACCTTGAATAAGTTAGCTCTCCATTCCATCCCCTGTTCCTTCCTTCCCCTCCACTCCTATGTTTTTCTTTTTTCTTTTTCCAAACAGGGTTTCTCTGTGTAGCTCTGGCTATCCTGGAACTCGATTTGTAGACCAGCCTGGCCTTGAACTCACAGAGATCCAATTGCCTCTGCCTCCCGAGTGCTGAGATTTATTTACTTATTTATTTATTTATTTATTTCCCGAGACAGGGTTTCTCTGTGGCTTTGGAGGCTCTCCTGGAACTAGCTCTTGTAGATCAGGCTGGTCTTGAGCTCACAGAGATCTGCCTGCCTCAGCCTCCTGAGTGCTGAGATTAAAGGCGTGAGCCACCAACGCCCATCGCCCATGGAGATATGACTCTTAGACACTGAATCATGCCTATGGAGTAAAGAACTCCAAAACTTGTATTTATCAAATGAATAAAATAAATAAATTGGATGTCTTGAAAATGGGTGAAGATTTGGTGGGGCTGCAATTCAATAACAATAAATCAACATGAGTGATTAGGTTTCTATTTTTGTTACCTTAGTGTCTGCATTTGAGAAGAGGGGCTGTTTGTTATATTTGCATGACAAACCACCTCATACAACAACAAATTCCATATCAAAGGGAAAAGGTAAGTACACACACCCTTCCAACGTTACTACCTAAGAGGATACACTGAACATTTGTTTGGACTTTTTCCTCCCCACCCCCTACTTTGCCCCACCCCAGGCTTTTAAGAAGGCCCTGTGCATGCTGGTTAGGAGCCTGCCAAACCAAGCCTTGGGAGGACGAGTTTGTTTCCATTTTGCACGATTTACAATGCTGTGTTGGACAGGTATGTGAAACAGATACTTGGGGAGGGTGCACCAAGGAGACCTGGGACAACTCCCAAATTCCCATCAGAGTCACCAAAAGTCACTTTAACCTTCAAGTTCAGTAGAGAACTTCTCTGTATCAGTGGCTGCAGTGCCTGAGGAACATTCAGCAGGGAAGGTGCCATCCAGGGATCTCCATGCTGAAGATGGCCTAGACTTGTAGACCTTTCACCTCATCCTGCCCACCCCCATTACGCTATGGATTTGTGTGTGGTCTGTGTGTGTGTCTGCAGCTCTGAAATACTGGGTGTCCATAGAGACCGGAAGAGAGTATCAGATTGTGCACTGCTATTGTAGGGGCTAGGAGCCCTCTGGGAAAGCAGCCAGTGTTTTTAATTTCTGAGCCATCTCTCTAGCTTACTCCTTTGCTTCTTGGGACAGGATCTCGTGATGTAGCCCTATCTGTTCTTAAACTCCCACTGATCTTCCTGCCTCTGCTGAGTGCTGGATAAGTGAGACATCACAACCAGCCCTTACTACCCTTTGAAGGAGTCAGTTCTGGTTCCAGGACAGAATTCAGGCCATCAGGCTTGGCAATGAGTGCCTTTACCAGATTATTTCCTCTTGAATGAACTGTGGGAACTAAGGTTTAGGCGGGTCAGGAAAATCTATGGTGCCGGAGCTGAGTCTTGAAGATTGCAATGAAGGCTCAAGGATGATGTGGCTTAGCTTGAGGATCTTTAGGAGAGGTCTTGGGGCAGGCTATTCAGTCTAGAGAAGAGATTGGAGTCCCAAACTGGAAGAGAAGATTAACATTTCTTTTTTTCTTAATGGTGGTGGGGGATGAGATAGGTCAGAGGTTTCTGAATAGGCTAGCAGAACAGAGAAGTTGAGTGGGAGTGGGAGAATGTATTGGGGCTGGGCCTTGAGTTTGATTCTAATGTTTGGGCCCCAAGAATGCAAACTATTCCACGTCCCTTCAAAATAGCAGCCCTTGACATCTTACTGGCTACACCAAGAAATGGAATTATGTAGGCACTGTATCTTTAAAAAAAAATCCCCTTTGTAGCACTTCCTTAAAAATAAGTATTTATTGCACCTCTGCCAGCATGCTCTTGATCGTTGCTAACTTGATAGTTGCTAACTGCAACTTCATGAAGGGCTGAAGTGTATCTTCCATGAAGAGCTGAGTGTCTCTTCTGGGTGAGTGTTCCAAGATTATGCTTTTCCAAGCCCTTTACATTAACTGTTCAATTTTTTCCTTCAGATGAATGTTTCTTGGGTGATTGTCTTATTAATTGTTCAGTTGCAAGAAATGTTGATCCATTAAGGTGACTAGCAAGATTTTCTCTCTCCTTTGTATTTGCAGCTTGGTCATTGTGACAGGCTTTGGTACTAGGAATGCAAACTCCAGTTTGAGGGGATTCAGCACCTGAACCCGCGTCTTTACAGCATGTTCTTCATTGAAACCACTTATGCTCCTCTATTTACAGCTCATAGAAACAAAGTGTAGAGAGTTTGCTTCTACTAGAATACTCCTGGCACCTTTAGGTACTTAGTTCAAAATACAGCAGTCTTCAGCACTAATGAATGAAGTCATGATTGCCTCAAAGTTGTGGATAGCTTTAAAAAATTATCTGGCACTGATAATGTTAATGTGGTGGGTAAGGTCAGTGCATGGCTAAAATCTCAGCTTTTGGGAGGCTGACAGAGGAGGACTGACATGAGTTTAAAACCAGTCTGGATTACAGAATGAGTGTGAGGCTAGCCCAGGCTTCATAGTCACTGTCTCAAAAGAGCAAGTAAACAGACAGCCAAAAAAACTGACTAAAGAACATATCCAAAACTGGATTTATGAATGTTCTTATGTTTTCTTTTTGTTGTTGTTGTTGTTCTTAGTTTTTCGAGACAGCTCTGTGTAGCTTTGGCTGTACTGGAACTTACTTTGTAGACAGGCTGGGATTAAGGGCACGAACCACCACAGCCCGGTCTCATGTTTTCTTTTAAGTGAACTGATTGGAAGATAAAGTATTGTGCTGTGATCACTGTATTATTTGGTATTTATTGTTATTATATCAGTATTAGATTAAAACCTTGCCAGGTAGTGGTGGTACTCTTAGGAGGCAGAGGCAGGCAGATCTCTGAGTTAAAGGCCAGCCTGCTCTACATAAGTGTGTTCAGGACAGCCAGGACTACACAGAGAAACCCTGTGTCAAAACAAACAACAACAAAAAATGAAATAAATGCTAAACATTAAATAATAATAAAGGGTATCTGTTTATGGGATAAGAACTTGAGGTAACAGCCAACAGCCTCTTTTTTGGTTTTCTCTGTGGCTTTGGAGGCTGTCCTGGAACTAGCTCTTGTAGACCAGGCTGGTCTCGAACTCAGAGATCCACCTACCTCTGCCTCCTGAGTGCTGGGATTAAAGGCGTGCGCCCGGCTAACAGCCTCTGGTTTTTAAATGGTATGGTAATCTGTTTTAAATTCCCACACTTTTATCTATAGTGGCTTTGATATATATTCACATTCACACAAATAGGGAACATTTAAAGCACCCATCTCTGCGACAACTGGTATTAGAGAAAATATTCATCACTGAAAGTGATAAAGACGTAGATAACAAATCTTTTTTCTAGAGGCACACACACACACACACACACACACACACACACACAAAAAAAAAAAAAAAAAAAAAAAAAATCCTGTAACCCACAGAAACCAAATGTCCTCAGGCTTCCAGGTACAGGCTTTCTACACCGGCCTTCATGCTTGGCCCAATAAAAGGTCTGCACCAAGATTCTGAAGGCAAAGAGGTCTAAAGTTCACTATTACTTAAAAAGGTTGTGTGTGTGCTAAGGTGAAAAATTGAATTTCAAAATTTTTAAATTAAAAGCATTTGGGGTGAGACTGGCCACAAACTCCAATTTGAGCTAGTCTTTCTGAGTCAGCTTTCAAGAGCTAGGGTTACAGTAGAGGATTATAGGTTTGCACTGCCATGCCCAGGTTAAAGTACTTAAATGACTGGGATTCTTCAACATGCTCCTGTGCTTTCTGTTCTCTGATCAGCTAAGCAGTGAGGGTGACCCACCACCTTTAGCTATTTCAGAATGTGTAGGAGCTGGGGTGATGGCTCTGCAGGTAGAAATGGTTGCACTGTAAACATGAGGACCAGTCTTTGGATCTCCAGAACCTCGGGAACGCTGATGTGCTAGCTAGTTCTTTGTTGATTTTTTCCTTCCTGGCATGGCACAAGCTAGAGTCATCTGTGAAGAAGAAATTTAATTAAGAAAATGCCTCCAATAGATTGGCCTATAGGTGAGTCTCTGGAGCCTTTTCTCTTTTATTTATTTATTTATTTATTTATTTATTTATTTATTTATTTTGAGACAGCATTTCTCTCTGTAGCCTGGAACTGGCTTTGTAGACTAGTCTGGCCATGAACTCACAGCCTGCCTCTGCCAAATGCTGGGATTAAAGGAGTGTACCACCAACACTCTGGAGCATTTTGTTGATTGACTGTGAGAGGGTTCTGACCACGGTAGTGGGTACTCCAGAGTTACATAAGAAAGCAAGCTGAGCAAGCCAGTACATACTCATTTCTCAGTGGCCTCTGCTTTAGTTCCTGCCTCAAGTTCCTGCCCTGACATCCCTCAATGATGCAGTGACAATAGTAAAACCCCTTTCCTCTCAAGTTGTTTTGGTCATGGGGTTTTATCACAGAAATAGAAACCAAACTAGGACATCTTGCCAGGGTGTAGTGGCCTCCTTTAATCCCAGCACTTAGAAGGATGAGTCAGCACAAGATCACCAACTTATCCAATCAGCAAGTTCTGAGATCCTGTTTCCATTCGTAGGGTAGAGAGTAGTGGAGGAAGACCTTGACATCAGCTTCTGCTCTCTGTACACACTGGCATGCACGAGAAGCCACACAAACATACATGTTCCTTCACTCACATACAATATACATATACATGTAATGTTAGAAAAGTGAAATATTTGTAGGAAGTTTTGTGGAAAGAAAATTTGTACTGTGAAAGAATTCAGATGATGGCATTTTGCATTTATACCATTTTTCAGGGCAAGATCTGTTTATTTAGAATCAAATTAAAAATTACTTTTGTTTCAAGGTTAATCTCATACCTGTAATCCAAATGCTCAAGAGGCTGAGGCAGGAAGATTACTATGAATTAGAGGCCAGCCTGGGCTACAGACTGAGATCTTGTGTCCAAAAAAGCAAAAGACAAACAAACAATAAATGTTAAACCTATTTGGAACTGTCCTTTTATTTAATTGGTCTTTTTCTTCCCCACCAGAACTTGTTATTGAGCCCAGAGCCTTGTGCAAGCTAGCAGCAAGTGCTTTACCACACAGCTTCCTCAACCCAAGACGACCATTAGTGAACAATGGTCAGCTGGTTTGTTTATCTTTATTCCCCAGCATTCCTTTTATTTAATTGGTCTTTTTCTTCCCCACCAGAACTTGTTATTGAGCCCAGAGCCTTGTGCAAGCTAGCAGCAAGTGCTTTACCACACAGCTTCCTCAACCCAAGACGACCATTAGTGAACAATGGTCAGCTGGTTTGTTTATCTTTATTCCCCAGCATTGAAACTAAGTTTTCCTTTTTCTTTTTGAGAAGGGTTTCCTGTATCCCAGGTTGGCCATATGTTGCCAGGGATGGCCTTGAGGTGCTGATCATTGTGCTGCGATTACAGACATGTGCTACCATGCTCTGCTTAGGTGGTGCCAGGGATTGAACCTGTAATTTTTATTTATACCATATAAAATTTTATGCTCTATCAAATTACATAATTATATGGTATAATATTTATGATATAAGATAAATGCTTTTGGTAATCACCAGGCTGACAGGCCAGTGCTTTAAATACTAAACTAGGAAACTGGCTCTCACATTTGGTGACACCTGAGTCGTACTATTAGTTGTCTATGGCTATGGACATCTAGCAGGGAGGGCCCAAGAAGCTGTTGAGTATTCTACACTGCAAAGAACAGCATGCTGCAATGACAACTTAGCTACTCTACTATGCCCATAGTGCTAAAGTTGAAACTCTCCTAGCAAAAGAGTAAAGTTACCTTTTATAAATTGCAGAACTCTCAAACTTCACCATTGTTGCAATACACTTGTATTGAACAAGACAGCCTGGGTCAACAATTTGCTGATGCTTTAGAGGTGTTGCAACATTCAGTTGGAGGACTTCAGTACTTCCCAGGTAAAATAGTCATTTACTCTTATCTCTTGGCACACGTGGCTAGTTAGTCACATGTGTGTAAGAGATAAGGCATGAAAACCTAATAGATAGACTTATGATCTTGGCATTGCCAAGCTGGAGAAGGGGTTTTCCCTAGCTAGCCAGCATACCCTTATTGATGAACTGTAGGCTAATGAGAGACTGCCTCAAAACACAAGGCTATTGAAGGATGATGTCTGAGGTTGGCTTTGGCTCACACACATGTACACACACAGGTAAAACACCCATATACATAAAATAATTGTAAAAGTGATGAAGTGATGTGGAATGGAGGCCAAGGGGTCATTGTTTTGAGGCCGGACTGATATATAGTTGAACCCTATTTCTTTCTCTTTTTTTTTGTTTGTTTGTTTGTTTTTGTTTTGTTTTTAACTTTTTTATTTGAATTACAAACAAGATTGAATTACATGACAATCTCAGTTCCCTTCTCCCTCCCGTCCTCCTCTCCCACCCCCCCAACTAAAACCCTACCTATCACATATCTTTTCTTCTAACCTACACCTGACTAAACCTTTCTGCTCCCTCATGACCTCTGTATTCTTCCTTTTCTTCCCTTCTCATTTTCGTGGCTCCCTCCTCCCTCTTTCCATGTTCTCAATTTGCTCAGGGGATGGTGACCCTTTCCCCTTCTCCAGGGGACAAAGTTTGTCTCTTTTAGGGTCCTCCTTGTTTACTAGCTTCTCTGGCAGTGTGGATTGTAGGCTGGTAGTCCCCTACTCTATGTTTAAAATCCACATATGAGTGAGTACATATCATGTTTGTCTTTTGTGATTGGGTTACCTCGCTCAGAATGGTTTCTTCGAGTTCCATCCATTTTCCTGCAAATTTCAAGATTCCATTGTTCTTTTCCCACTGAGTAGTACTCCATTGTGTAAGTGTACCACACTTTCTCTATCCATTCTTTAGTTGAGGGGCATCTAGGCTGCTTCCAGTTTCTGGCTATTACAAATAGTGCTGCTATGAACATCGTTGAACAGATGTCCTTGTTGTATGAATGTGCTTCTTTTGGGTATATGCCTAGGAGTAGAATTGCTGGATCTTGTGGTAGACTGATTCCCATTTTCTTGAGGAGTCACCATACTGATTTCCAAAGTGGCTGTACAAGTTGACACTCCCACCAGCAGTGGAGAAGTTGAACCTTATTTCAATAAGACAAAGAACAAACAAAGTCTGCTTATCATTTGCTTATTATATCATCTTGTTTTCAGGAAAAGCTTTTCCTTTAAAAATATGTATATGCATTCTGTGTATGTGTATGTGTATATGTATATGAGTATGGTATATTGTACATGTGTATATGTATATGTGTATGGTATATTATGTATTTGTATATGTATATGTGTATGGTATATTGTGTATGTGTATATGTATATGTGTATGGTGTATTATGTATTTGTATATGTATATGTGTATGGTATATTGTGTATGTGTATATGTATATGTGTATGGGGTATTATGTATTTGTATATGTATATGTGTATGGTATATTGTGTATGTGTATATGTATATGTGTATGGTGTATTATGTATGTATATGTGCATGGTGTATTGTGTAAGTGTATGGTGTACTGCGTATGTGTATATGTGCCTGTTTTTTTTTGTTGTTGTTGTTTTCGAGACAGGGTTTCTCTGTGTAGCTTTGGAGCCTATCCTGGCACTCACTCTGGAGACCAGGCTGGCCTCGAACTCACAGAGATCCACCTGCCTCTGCCTCCTGAGTGCTGGGATTAAAGGTTTGTGCCACCAATGCCCAGCATGCCTGTTGTATTATGTAAGTGTACGGTGTATTTCATATGTGTATATGTGCATGGTGTATTGTGTGTATTATCTGGGCCATAATTAGACTGTGGAAGTCAGGAGACAGCCTTGGGTGTCATCTTTGTCAGAGTCTTAATACCATGCATATGCAAGCTAGCTAGCCTGAGAACTTCAGGGACTCCCCTGACTCTGCCTTCCATCTTGCCACAGAGATACTGGGATTACATAAACATCTCTATGTGCTCAGATTTACCTGGGTCTGGGAGCTCTGGTTCCTTACACTTGTGTGGCAAGTGCTTTGATCATTGAGTCATCTCCCCAGCTCAGAAAAAAACTTCTTCATTGTTATATCTCTCAGGCCTTCCATGTAGTTAGTGTGGGAGAATACAGATTTTTATCTTTCACTAATTCTACAGTTATTTTTATTATTTTATCTACATAAGATGTAATAAGTTGTCTACTGAATTTATATACAGTATCATAGAGAGTTCCAAGATCAAATATAGTGCGGCACTTTAGGTACGTGGACTATTTCTCCATAAGGCAAAAGGGTTATGTAGAAGACTATAATATTAGAATATTGGGGTAAACACCATGAAAGAAATATAAAGTGGTAAGAACTTAGAAGGCAGCATACCTTGGGCCAACTCCGTACCTGTGCGTGTGCGTGTGCGTGTGAGTGTGCGTGTGCGTGAATGAATGTGTGCTTGTAAACTTGGACTTAAGAAATGTCTTTCTGTTCTTTTTTCTAATTAGAAAATACAAATCACATGGCTCACTATTACCCTCACAGCATAAGCAATTCCAGCTATTATGGAATTCTACACTCAGAAGAACCCACCTATACCTGGAGAAGTGTGAGTATGTCTAGCGAGGCCAGCCGCTCAGCACAGAAAAGGGTCCACAACAGTTATGCTTTTGTTTAATGAGTGAGTTTATAAAGTTTGGAGCAAACACGAGTAAAAGTGTGAGAGAGCAAGCAGCAGAGAGACAGTAGAACCTCAGTTCAAACACAGAACAGAAGAGCTGACAAAGCTCTGAACAATAGTGTAGTTACCTGGATCCCAGACTAGACAGAGAGCCCCAAGCAGAACATGTTTTCCTGGGTGTGACTTCCAATTAGCGCTTCCCACCACAGACATTTTTATTTGTGTTATCAGTGGTCACACAGTGAAGGTGCCTGGGAATAATAATCCACCTTTTGGTTGCATTCAAGGCCATGGTACTTTTATTATTCACTGAATCTGGCAACCTTACCTTTTTAACTCTTAGACTGCAGAGTATAGCTTCTTGTAGTTGGGACCCCTGGCCTGACAGTGTGCAGTGATAAGATAGCTAAAGCCCAGCCCCTTCCCTTCCCATCAATCAATGGACACTTCTTTGCCATGTGTCATGGTAGGAACTTCTTCCTCTTGTCTCTTGATCCCAGTTGCCATTGGTCTCCCTTGCCCAGGAAGGCATTCAATCCAGGAATGAAATCCTATCTTCCCTTTGCACTGACACCCTAATCTTTGACTTTCCTTGCTAAGGGGAGGGTGTCGGGGAGGTGATATTCTTGTTTATTTTTTGAGATATGGTGTTTGTCTGCAGCCCAGTTTCTGTAGCACAGGATCTCCTTAAACTCAAAGCAGTCCTCCTGCCTCAGTCACTCTCTGCATAGCTCTAGCTCTAGGCTTCTTGGGGCTGGGGTTGTGATCCGCCATGCCTGATTCCCACTGATTCTCTTGACTCTTTCTCACTGGTCATCTTTAGAAAAGAGTAATCACCTCTTTCTCGTTCGAGGAAGAGTCAAATGTTAACCTATATCCCTTGGTCCTCTCTGTATCGTTTGATCATCCCTGGGATGATCTGGCTGCAGTGGAGTCAGTACTTTGAGAATGCAGATGTTTAGTACCCTTTTCTCTTAGCTTTGGTCTTCAGCCACTGATGGGGGGTTGGGGAGGCACAGGACAAACTCCCACTTAACACCCTGCTGTCTTGTGTCTGTAGAATGGTTCTGCGGACTTGTATTTGGAAGAAAGTCTCCAGGAACCTCTGCAAAGCATAAATGCAAACCAGCTGGGACAAGTATCCCTCATCCAGCCAAAAGGAGGAAAAGGTACATTGCTATGACACCCTTTACATAAGGTACAAAGGGATGCTATGTATGTGTTTAGGTTTGTTTGTTTTTTTTTTCCTTTCTGTTATTACGTAGCTCAGGCTGGCCTTGGAGCTCACTAGTAGACCAAGATGTCTTCAAACTTGCAATCCTGCTTCAGATTATAAGTACATGGCATCATGCTGGATGGAGTTCAGAAGTAATTATATCTCTAAGTATTATCTTGTAGCTAAACACAGTAGTACATACTTAGGGCCAGCACTGAGGCAGAGGGATTGCAAGTTTGCAGCAAGCCAGGGCTACATGATACAAACAAGTGTAGATAGACAAAAACAAACAAACAAATAAACAAAAACAACATGAATTGAACACTCCAAGGGTGTTGTGTTATTTATTGCATCATAGGCAACTTAGTGATGGTTACACTCTGGAAGAAAAATGCCACCACCCCACCCCCAGCACCAAAAGCTCCTCACGGAGCTCATGTGTCTCTCCATAACCATGCTAGAGTGTAGGCAGTCTCAATTTTTGTGCAGTTCTTGTGCAGGTAGCTACAGCTGTAGTGAGTTGATAGTAAACAGCCATGTCATGTTCAACAGTCTTGTAATGCTCAGAGGACAGTTTCACCATTTCTAAACTCAAGATAATGAAAGCAGATTTTGGGAGGTGGAGATATACAGCAATAAACTACGCTGATTTCTTAAGGAGAAAATATAATCTAGCCAAGAGTTTTTGTTTTTAACTACTGGTGGGTCCATTGAAGCATGATATGACATGCATAAGCTAATTGGGATGTCATGACATGGCTGTCACTTTAATTCAGTGAATTCTATCAACAACACACAATGCACAAGAATCCTCTAAATCTATTTCCCTATCTAGTCATTTTGAGACACAAATTATTACATCTCTAAATGAAATACTGACATTAACGCTTGTTTTGTAATTGAAAATGACAATGTCCTTAGCCATTGCTCATGAACAATGTGGACTGAAGACTTGTCACAAGGCTGGGATCTTCAGCTTCTAGCCTCATGGGCTGGGCAGCTGTTGCTTCTCATCCTCTGGACAGCGTGTAGACAATCACTGTTGAACTGCTTGACTCATGGTGTAAGACAGTCTAACAAACAGACTTAGAATATATACTCATTCTGTCAGTTCTGTTTCTCTAGAGCTCTAATACAAACATCCACAAAAATGTAATAATAAAGTCTATTGGTTTTGTGTAATCAATACATGCTATTAAAAATATTTACACAGGGCGTTGGTGGAACACGCCTTTAATCCCAACACTTGGGAGGCAGAGGCAGGCGGATCTCTGAGTTTGAGGCCAGCTTGATCTCCAGAGCGAGTGTCAGGATAGGCTCCAAAGTTACACAGAGAAACCCTGTCTCGAAAAACCAACCAACCAACCAAACAAACAAACAAACAAAAAACAAAAAAAATTGCAACAACAATGGTAAACTTCAGAAAAACTGGAGTAGAAATGTCAAATGTTTTCATGTCATTGTTTACAGCCCCAGAGCTAGCCTCCATGTCATGGATACTAATTCCCCTAATATTACTTTTAGGGACAAGAGAGAGGACAACATTTAAGAACAGTGGAACTGGAGTTAAAGATATTTGTGAGCTGCTGGGACTTGAACCTGAGTCTTTTCTGCAAGCTCAATAAGAGCTCTAACAGCTGAGCCAACTCCAGCCCCTTGTATGTTTCTTTTTTTAAGAGTTATTTATTATTTTATGCATATGAGTGATCTATTTGCATGTATGCCTTTATGCCAGAAGAGGGCATCAGACCCCCACTATATAGATGGTTGTGAGCCACCATGTGGTTGCTAGGAATTGAACTAAGGACCTCTGGAAGAGCAACCAGTGCTCTTAACCTCAGAGCCATCTCTCCAGCCCCCTTGTATGTTTCATAATGAGAAACTATGGTGGAAATTTAACTGAACAAAAACTGCCTTCAAATGAGATCTCCAGATGTGGGGGTGCAGGCTTCCTTTTTCCAGAGGACTGAAAGACCCCCAGACTCCTAAGGGCCTCAGGATCCTGAGGAGCCCCCCAGACTCAGAAACCAGAGCAAGAACTGCAAAAGCAAGAGGGTTTATTGAACGAATGCACATTCAGGTGTCAGCAATATCGGGGAAGCTGCACACCCCGGCATGGGGTGCAAGCTCCTTATATAGGAAAAACCCACAAATCAGCATACAGGCAAGGGGCACAAAGTGATTGATTACAAAGTATGATCTCATGTTAGAGTGGTCACCCAGGTATGATCTGCTTTTCTACAAAGAAAAAACCATAGAACGTACCCAGAAAAGTCCTTGATTGTTGACCAGTCAGGTGTGATCCAAAGAGGGTTGTCTTAGCGATTGCCCCCTGTCTAAACCATAGGATGTGACTGGGGTTGGGGTCAACTTCCTTGTAATGGGCCAAGGCCTATGGGAAACTTTCTCTCTGTGAACTAAAATCTTTTAAAACTTTTTCTGTCAGCAAAGTAAAATCTTTCATTCCCCCATTTTTTTTTTTTGTGAGGTTTTAATCCTTAAATCTATGGTCCTTTTTATTGCCTGAGAGCCTGATATTGCTGGGTAAGAACTAGGACTTGGGTAATGACAAGCGTTTCCCCCATGTAAGGGAGTTTTTTTTTGTTTGTTTGTTTGTTTTTTTGTTTTGTTTTGTTTTGTTTTTTTGACTTAGCATTTTAACCAGGGAAAATGGGCGACGTATTCTTTCCCATGCTGCTTCCTGCTGACTTTGGGACGAAGTTAGGGACCCAAGAAGGTTGAAATGCTAGTCAAAAGCAAAAAAAAAAGGGGGGGGGCGGAATTTAGGCAATGGGGAATCCATCAGGAGCTTCTGGTTGGCAGACTCTGTTGTAGAGATAGGGGGTGTCTATATCAGCTGGACTGGTTTACATCCACAGCAAGTCTAGGGCTTGAAGTCTTTAGGAACAGGCTGTAGTCAGCAACTGATATTTGTCTGCCAGAAGTGGAAATCTGTTGAAACATGTTTAAACTGGGAACAGAAGTTAAAACTTATATATCTTATTGGAACTCTTAGGCCCATATTTTTAGTGATCAAGAAGGACAGGAGTTCCAAGACAAGGGAAAAAATCCCATCCTCAGGAACAAATAGATGGGATAACAAAAGTTGTACTTATCTGGAGTCCTTTTTATTTGTGAGAAGTGGATCCAAGCTTTATGACTTTTGATCCTCTGAAGCCTATATGAATTTTATTATATACTAGGACATAGAAGTTTTAGACATTTTATTATTATTAATCTGTATTGAAATCTTAATTGTAGAAAAAGCAGATATTGGGTATCTGTAGAATGGCAGAAATATATTTATATCTTTGAGTTCTAGCAAAAACTATAGATTTGGGTTAGAAGCTTGTACATTTTTCTTCTGTCCAGAGAGTCAGGTATAGATTGGACAGAGGTGCCTTTGGCCTGATGAAAAGCCCTTTAAGTTTATATTTAGATAACAACTAAAGTAAATCTAAAAACCTTGAGCTTGTGACTGAACAGCAGATAGTTGGTTTTATCTGCTTATCAGAACTTTATTAAATGATTTATTAAGCTGGCTATAGTTTAACCATTAATACTATTAGAGATCTGAGAAGTATAAATTTTATACAGTTTCTGAATCTATTAAAAATGACAGGGCCCAGTCCATATAAAGTTAGCCATACCCACGTCTCAATAGTGTTGGGGGCAGAAGTAAATCTTTGCCAGGTCCATAAAGACAGAGTTTTTTCTCTCTGTGGAAGCGGGACATGCAAAAGACTGACCTTATTTTGTCTATGCAAAGGTGGTGCAATCAATTCTCCAGTGTCTTGTAGCCTGTCTACAGTCTGAGCCCGGTCCTGTCTGGCAGCAGGTGTAGCATCTGAGCATCATGCTCACTGGTCAGCGTGGTCACAATCCATGGAGCCCCATAATCTTCTTTAGAGACCTTGGGTCACTGTCAGGATCTGGAATTTTCTGTCTGATATTATAAACTTTTTAAGTTAACATTTTGAATGCCATATTTTGCAGATCTCTGTAGTATTAGAAGTCTGCCTAGGTAAATCTGGAAACTTGTATAAGAATGGCTAGTAACTTGTATTTTTAAACATCTTATAACAGGTTAGCAACTTTTATAAAACTAAGACTTTATATTGTCAGGTTTACCTTTAATCAATATAAACATCTGACATACAGGTGGTCTTAGGCTACCCTTATAAAAGAGTTTTGTTTTTAAAATTTTAAAGAATTTAGACCTATGGGCTTAGCAGTTATTTTAAGCCCTTTGTTAAACTTAGGTCATTGTCTTACTGTACCATAAGAAAAACAGCTTAATTTTTTTATTAACATTTGGAATTTATGGCTGTGATCTTAAATTTTAGCTCTTTTGATTTAAGCATAAATATTAACAATATAACAGAAGTATAAATATCTTATAACCTTTAATTTCTAGTGTTACTAGTTTTAATTTTTGACAGATTTAACCATGAAACAGTCTTAATATTATCTTTGATAACCCAAATTTAATGACTAGCGCTCAGAGATAAATTCTGAGCTATGTCCACAAATGACTGGCTATTGTTAGAATTAGACAGTAAAAATATTTGAACCATTTTTGTTTTTTGTTTTGGCTTTTGGCTTATAATAAAATTTACGTTTATACCAGAAAACACAGATAGAACCTTTTAACAAGTATACAGAATTAATTTTTAAAATTTTTAAACAGAATTAACCTGGTGTGGTCAAAATTTTTAACCTGTATTACTATTATAAAGAGATATGAGAGCCCATAGTAAACAGTTTACATTTTATCTGACATTTTTATGACTTTCTTTTGACCCTCTTTAAATTTTTATTACTTTTTGCTCTTTTTTTTTTTTTTTTGATTCTCTTAGATATCCCCATCTTAGAAAACCTGGTCGGGGTGTCCGTGGGGTCCAGAATCGAACACTTTTTCTTTTACCTGTAAAATAATCTCAAAATTAAAAGAACTGTCCCAAGACCAGCCAACATTAAAATGTTGGCCACTTAGAACTGCAGAAAGTTTGCAATTTTTTCTTCTTGACGTTTGGGGACTGGTTGTTGGCTCAGTCCCAAACGTCTCCCCAATGGTCTAGAGTCAAACTTAAGGGGGTTGTTAGTTGTTGTCCCATGGTGGTCAGATGGTGAAAAACAAAAAGAGACAAAGAGACAAAGACTGAGACAGACAGTCAGGCCAAACAACAAAGGCCGAGCAGCTGCAAATCGGTGCCAAACCAAAATCACAAATTCAAAAGGGAGCGGCGGAGACTTGCGTTGTCCGCTCCCAGGGACGAGGGTTGCCTGCTCGCCCTCGCCCACCCAAACTCCCCATGAAGCATTCTTCAGGATCGGACTCAGAGGGGAACAACTCGTCAGTCTACCTCATGCGTCTCTACAAAGCCTGCATAGCCTATACAGGGCTTCCAAATAGACAGACAAACAGAAAACATAAATCCAAATAAGCCAGCCGGACTTCCTCTTAGTCGCAGTACTGAGTCTGGGGTCTCCCTCTGACCTCCTGGCTGCCTCGCCAAATGAAAGAGCCCCCCAGGCCCCTAAGGGCCTCAGGATCCTGAGGAGCCCCCCAGACTCAGAAACCAGAGCAAGAGCTGCAAAAGCAAGAGGGTTTATTGAACAAATGCACATTCGGGTGTCAGCAATATCAGGGAAGCTGCACACCCCAGCATGGGGTGCAAGCTCCTTATGTAGGAAAAACCCACAAATCAGCATACAGGCAAGGAGCACAAAGTGATTGATTACAAAGTATGGTCTCATGTTAGAGTCGTCACCCAGGTGTGACCTGCTCTTCTACAAAGGAAAGACCACAGAACGTACCCTGGAAAGTCCTTGATTGTCTGTTGGTCAGCCAGGTGTGACCCAAAGAGGGTTGTCTTAGCGATTGCCCCCTGTCTAAACCATAGGATGTGACTGGGGTTGGGGCCAACTTCCTTGTAATGGGCCAAGGCCTATGGGAAACTTTTTCTCTCTGTGAACTAAAATCTTTTAAAACTTTTTCTCTCAGCAAACTAAAATCTTTCAGGACAATAAGCACCTTTTAACAATTTCTATATCATTTAGTCCCAGTGCAAACTTTAAGAGGCCCATTGATCTTTCTGGGCTGCTGGTAACTGCATTCCTAAGGTAGTGAGTAAGAGGAAACCAGCTCAGTGAAGTTTCCATTTCTGGGGCTCAGAAAGTCCTTCCCTAGGACCTTCCAGGGCCAGCCACAAAGGGTTTGATGTCTCTTCTTTCCCTCAATTGCAGGCAGGAGGAAGCTTCGGCTGTTTGAATACCTTTTCCAATCTCTGTGCGATTCAGATATGTCATCTTGTATTCAATGGGTAGACAAAACCAAAGGTGTCTTTCAGTTTATATCAAAAAACAAAGAAAGGCTTGCTGAGCTATGGGGGAAAAGAAAAGGCAACCGAAAACCTATGACTTACCAGAAGATGGCCAGAGCCCTGAGGAACTATGCCAGGACTGGGGAGATCACGAAAATCCGCAGGAAGCTGACCTACCAGTTCAGTGAAGCTGTTCTCCAGAGCCTGTCTCCATCTCCATCTCACTTCCAGGCGAAAGACCTGTTCTACTGCCAGTATGACCAACCTAATCAGGAATGTCTTAGCATGAACCACTGGAATACAAACTACTATGCTTATGCTGGTTACCAAGAGCTAAGCCACTACACATTTTAATTGTATTCTACCATTCCTTGTCTTGCTAGCATCAGAAAAATCCCCAGTTCCAGAACTTCTAAGGCAAACAGCTGCTCTCCATAGGCATACATACACGATACACAAACATCTAAGGAGGACTCTGTATAGAATATGGTCAGACTTTAGGTAGTATTTGCAACATGTACTGTGACACAGAGGTTATAACAAGATGTTCATGACTCAAAAACTACAATATCTTTTATAATATCCAATCTAACAAGCATTAGATTATGACTGTGACTTTAATTTGCATTTTTCTGATTATATATAAGAATTTTTTTTAAGATTTTGTTTATTTTGTATACAACATTCTGCTTCCATATATATCTGCACACCAGAAGAGGGCACCAGATCTCATAACAGATGGTTGTGAGCCACCATGTGGTTGGCTGGGAATTGAACTCAGGACCTCTGGAAGAGCAGTCAGTGCTCATAACCTCTGAGCCATCTCTCCAGCCCCGAATTTTTGTTTTAAGACAGGGTCTTGCTATATATATAGGTCTGCCTTGCTTAGATCTCACAGATCTCCAAGTACTGGTATAAAAGGTGTGTGCTTGTGTTTGGAGGTCATTGAGGACATTTCTACTCAAACTCACCAGTGTGAAATTTTACCTGTTCTAGTAGTTGGGTTTTTTTGTTGTTGTTTGAGACAGGGTCTCACTTTGTAGTGCTAACTGACCAGGTGAATACAAGGCCGGCCTAGAATTCAGATCTTTTCCATTTATCTACATAGCTTTACTTATATTAGTCATGCTTCCATGGTTTTCAATAGATCCCAAAGAAGTAAATGATTGGTTAAACATAGTTAAGAATTCTATTAGGGACCGGGAGTTGGTGGCGCACGCCCAAAGAAGTAAATGATTGGTTAAACATAGTTAAGAATTCTATTAGGGACCGGGAGTTGGTGGCGCACGCCCAAAGAAGTAAATGATTGGTTAAACATAGTTAAGAATTCTATTAGGGACCGGGAGTTGGTGGCGCACGCCTTTAATCCCAGCACTGGGGAGGCAGAGGCAGGCAGATCTCTGAGTTTGAGGCCAGCCTGTTCTCCAGAGCTAGTGCCAGGATAGGCTCCAAAGCTACACAGAGAAACCCTGTCTCAAAAAACAAAAACAAAAAAACCATTAGGCTATTGTAAGTGAGTTTTCATCTTAATTTCTTCTTCAGAAATTAAACAGACTGATGTGTATGCACGCTCACGTGCACCTGAAGTTTATTTTTTTATTATCAGTATTAACTAGTCTTTTGCTGCTGTTGCTAGACTCTTTTTTTCCCCCAAGAAATTATTTTTTTATTAGTTCAACTTAGAAACAAGTCTGCTTCAGGGCTGGAGGGATGACTCAGTGGTTAAGAGCACTGGCTGCTCTTCCAGAGGGCCCAGGTTCAATTCCCAGCACCTACATGGCAGCTCACAACTGTAACTCCAGTTCCAGTGGATCTGATACCTTCATACCAAAAAGAAACAAGCCTGCTTCACATGCAAATCCCTTCTCCCTCTCCTCCTCCCCCCCACTAGCTCCCCCACTCCATCCCCCCTCTGCTCTCCAGGGAGGAGTAAGGCCCTCCATGGGGGATCCCCAAAGTCTGTCATATCATCCTGTGCAGGGCCTAGGCCCTCTCCCATGTGTCCAGGCTGAGAGAGCAACCTTCTATGTGGAATAGACTATGCTCATTATCATTTATAACCAACCCCATTTAAATGAAAACAAATATTTATAAACAATATTTGGGAATATGGGCATCATTCTATCTAAACTGCTTCCTGCTGATTGGGGGCGATGTTCATACCATTGGAATCATAATAAAACATAGAAATCTGACCAAGTCCTTGTTTTTGAAGTCTGTAAGGCTTTAGGGGGTCTTGTTTGATCAAACCATATTAGTCTGGAAGGAATCCACAGCTTTTTATTTTCTGTGGAAACATAAGAAAGAACTTTTTTTCCAAGTAGCCTGTCCTTAGACTTAATTTTGAAGTCAAAGCATTTTTAAAATGTATAGGTTGGATTAATTTAGCAGCATTTATAATCAAATGTATTTTAGCAGCAGTAAGTCTTTTCTCGGCAATCAAACAATTTAAAGACAACAATATGGCATATAGTATCCAGATTCTCTGTATTTTTTATCTTTATGTGGCTTTTTTATTATTTTATTTTTACTTTCTTTTGTCAGCAAATCCTACCGGTGTGCGCTACCACAACTGGCTACTCTATTTCCTCCTGTTACTTTTTCTCTCACAAGCCTACATATATTTTTAAATGTAGGGTAAACCTTTAGAGGTTTTTCTTTATCTGGATCTGTCTGTGTCATCTCTGGAGTGCCGAATCCAAGGCCCTAGAGTGCCAGGACGGGGGGAGCCTATGGAAGCTGCTCCAATGCCTCTCAGCGGCCCGACAGGGCAGGCTGTGGTGGAAGGTTTCCCTATTTCTCTGGTAATCTTGGGGCATGGGGTCATCCCACTTCTGCCAAAAGCCGCCTGAGCCCCACCGCCATGTGTGAGCTTTACACCAGCCTATGAGCTTTATGCCAGCCGCCCGCCTGAGTTAGGGCCCAAATGAATACACAGAAACTTGTGTTAGGTACAATGCTGCTTGGCCAATGACTAGGATTCTCATCTGTTAGCTCAGTCTTAACTATCATAAACCTATATATTTTATAAGCCTTATCTTATCGGATGCCTTATTGGCATCCCTCCTTGCCAGTGGATCATATTGTGCCGCTGAGCAGGAGCGGAGGGGAAAAGAGCAATGCTTCCTTTTCTCCTTTAAATATGAGTCTCCTTGCTGTGTCACTTCCTGCCTGGATCACAACTTCTCTACTACATTTCCTAGAATCCTCTTTGACTCCTAGTCCAGTCAAACTTGCTGTCTCATTAGCCAAACAGTGTTTTATTTAACAATCAATAAGATAAACATACACAGTATATTCCCCATCACATTTGGACTTAATTTTTGGTTTTGTTTTTGTTTTTCAAGACAGAGTTTCTCTGTGTGGCTTTGGAGCCTATCCTGGCACTCACTCTAGAGACCAGGCTGGCTTCAAACTCACAGAGATCCTCCTGCCTCTGCCTCCCCAGTGCTGGTGTGCACCACCAACTCCGGGCTTAAAAATTTGTTTTTGGATTTTTTTATTAGAAAGAAAATTATTTTACATGTCAATCCCAGGTCCTTCTCCCTCCCCTCCTCCCCTGCCCCCCGCAACTAATGCCCTATGCATCCCATACCCTTTCTGCTCCTCAGGAAGGGTGAGGCATTGCATAGGGGGGGTCTTCAAAGTCTGTCATATTCTTTGGATAGGGCCTAGGTGAACTCCCTTGTATCTAGGCTCAGGGAATATCCTTCCATGTGGGATGGGCTCCTAAAGTCCATTCCTATGAAAGCGATAAGTACTGATCCACTACAAGAGGCCCCATAGATTTCTAAGTTCTCCTCACTGACACCCACATTCAGAGAGAGGGTCTGGATCAGCCCCATGCTGGTTTCCCAGCTATCAGTCTGGGGACCAAGCATTTTCCCTTGTTCAGGTCAGCCATTTCTGTGGGTTTCACCAGCCTGTTATGGACCCCTTTGCTCATCAGTCCTCCTCTCCATCTGGATTTCAGTTCAGTTCCAGGTTTAACTGTGGGTGTCTGCTTCTACTTCCACCAGCTATTGGATGAAGGCTATACGATGACATATGAATTAGTCATCAATCTCATTATCAGGAGAGGGCATTAGCCGCTCCTCTGTTGCTTATATTGTTAGTTGGTGTCATCTTTGTAGCTCTCCAGACATTTCCCTAGTGCCTGATATCTCTTTGAATTTATAATGTCTCCCTCTATTAGATTATCTCTTATCTTTCTTGCTCTCTTCTGTTCTTCCCCCAACTCAGCCTCCCTATCCCTTCATGTCTTCCTCGCTCTTCCTCTTCCTTTCTCATTCTCCAAGTTCCCTCTTGCCTCCTCCCATAATCCCAATTTGCTCAGGAGATCTTGTCCCTTTCTCCTTATCCAGGGGACCATGTATGTCTCTCTTAGGGTCCTCCTTGTTTACCAGCCTTACTGGCAGCCTGAGCTGCAGGCTGGCAATCCTTTACTCTATGTCTAAAATCCACATATGAGTGAGTACATACAATGCCTGTCTTTTTGCGACTGGATTACCTCTCTCAGAACGGTTTCTTCTAGTTCCATCCATTTGCCTGCAAATTTCAAGATTCCATTGCCTTTTTTTCCACTGAGAAGTACTCCATTGTGTAAATGTACCACATAGGGTATTTCCTACTTTGTCTTCTAATAGGTTCAGTGTGGCTGGATTTATGTTGAGATCTTTGATCCATTTGGACTTATGTTTTGTGCTTGGTGATAGACATGGATCTATCTGTAGTCTTCTACATGTCAGCATCCAGTTATGCCAGCACCATTTGTTGAAGATGCTTTCTTTATTCCATTGTATAGCTTTAGCTTCTTTGTCAAAAATCAGGTGTTCATAGGTATGTGGGTTAATATTAGGGTTTTCAACTCAATTCCACTGGTCTACCTGTCTATTTTTGTGCCAATACCAAGCTGTTTTCAGGACTATAGCTCTATAATAGAGCTTGAAATCAGGGATAGTGATGCCTCTAAAAGTTCTTTTATTGTACAGGGTTGATTTGGCTATCCTGGGTCTTTTGTTTTTCCACATAAAGTTAAGAATTGGTTTTTTTCAGGGTCTGTGAAGAATTATGCTGGGATTTTGATGGGGATTGCACTGAATTTGTAGATTGCTTTTGGCAAGATTGCCATTTTTACTATGTTGATCCTAGTTATCCAAGAACATGGGAGATCCTTCCATTTTCTGGTATCTTCTTTAATTTCTTTAAAGATTCAAAATTATCTTTTTAAAGATTTATTTTTATTTATTATGTTTACAGTCTTCTGCCTGCATGCCAGAAGAGGGCACCAGGCCTCATTATAGATGGTTGTAAGCCACCATGTGGTCACTGGGAATTGAACTCAGGAC